TTAGAGTCTTACATAATGCTTAAATATACCATATGTTCTTCTAGGAATAATAGAGTGTCTTTAACCCTCAAATACATTTGTTTTTCTGAATGTTAAGGTAATATTTTGAAGAACTTTCGCGAAATTTTTTTGTCTTTGCAATTAAATTTTGAGAATTTATTAGGTTTAAGGAACTAATTTTTAAAATATTGATAAGTTTAAAAAATATTTATTTCATATGAATTATAATCTTATTTTTCTTACATTTGACTCAAAGTGAGAAGAGACAGAAAAGCATAATGAGAGTTAAATGCTAAGTGTCAACCACTGTTTTAAGAATATGAACAATTAATCATTTCATTCTCAAGATTGATTTGTGAGATATATTTCATGCTCGTTTGCAAGATGAGAAAATTTAGGTACCAAGATATATTAACAGCTAATGAGCCAACTTTATATATTCATATATTTGAATCTAGAGCCCACATTTTTAGCCACCATACTATACAGACTGAAATGAATATAAAGATTCAAAATGTTAGAACCTTTTCTATTGTGCAATCTTGAGCAACTTAACCATTTAGCACTTATCAAATATGAATAAAAATGCCTAATGTAAAAATTACTATGAAGATTAAACACAGGTTAATCAAAACTTCTGCCCTACCTAAAGGTAAAGAAATAGTATCTATTGTTATGCTGTTTTAATGTTTTATTTCTAAATATACAAAGTTGACTTCTGTTTGAGTGTTTTTCCTCCTGTTAAATTCGATCAACATTTCTTTGAAATACCGTCACGCTCTTTTTCCCCAACATGACCTAATGCATTTTCCCAGTCCCCCTCATCTCTTTCTTCCTATCTCCATCTTCATCTCTTTCCCCAAGAGCCTCATATTTGACATTTGTGTGTCATACTTTATCAACAGTCCTCCAAGACAAACCCTGTCCTTCTGTCATCTTAAATGACCTGAAACATGTTGAGTTCATTCATCAATTTACAGTTTTGTTCCTGTTGTTTTCTCTGTCTGGAATGTGTCTGTCCAGTTTCCTCTCTACCTGTTCAAATGTTCAGAACTAAAGGTTTAGTTGATCCCTGTCTATTTAACAAAGAATTCCTCTCTATTTCCTTTGACAGTATAATGCAGTATCCTCTTCTAAAGACCAACAGAAGATCTCTGAACCCCATTGTAAGAAACAACTGTGTTCCCTTTGAGTATTTGGTTTGTTTTTAACTTATACTGCCAATCATGTAATAGTTTTTTGTGTCTACATTTACATGGTTTTCAGGAATTCTGAGCCCTAATCTGCGGTCTATTTAAGCAGCTGTAAAATGTTTCGGAATGTGCTAATTACTACTTTAACTTGATACATAGATTAATTAACTTTGTTGTCCCTATTTTTCCTTTATTCCTTTATATATATCTTACTTTTGCATATACTATATTTTAATGGCAAAATAAAATTTTATCCCACAAAAAGCCATCCTACAAAAGGAAATTCTTGTAAAAATCATTTTAAAAAAAGAAAGTAATATAACAAATTTAATATTATCTGAAAATAAGCATCTAAAGGCAACTACTTCAAATACTGGATAAATTAACACTAGTTTTTAAAATAAATTTTGCATTTATGATTATTTAAACAACCTTAAAATGTATTAGAGCATAATTTTAAGTTATGCTTTTCAAAATCAATATCATGAGAATTTTTGTCATTGTTAATCTTTGAAAACATGATGCTTAGTTGTTTTATAATAATCTAGCATATGAATATAGTATGATTAATTTAATTATTCTTATATAGCAGAATATTTATGCTGAATTTAATTGTAAGCAGCTTACTACTATGATAAACAAACAGCATTGTGTCAAACATCTTAATTGCTAAACCTTTCACCTCATATTATTAATGAAAATTAAAGTCTTAATTTATGTTATGCATATTTCTAAAGTTATTAATACTTGTTGCCAAATTTCTCTCCATACAAGTTCCCTGTTCACTAGACGATTGTGGGCACTGTAGTTATTTTTATATTTATATTACATGCATTTCTATAAATATCTACATTATCTTTAGAAGAAAATGTAAAAATATATGGTTTACTATATAAATGAGTGAATATATTGTCAGTTCAGATTTATTTATCCTCCAAAATCATATATGAATAATATATCTACAACACTATTTTATAGCTTCTTTGTTCTGTGTTCTCTTTTTTAGAAAAAATTCTTTTTTTAACATTTATATTATATTTATCTCCTGAAATAGGTTGAAAGACTGCATTTAAGAAGATACTATGTGTGTTATGTCTTCTAAATCTCTTCATTCATTTACCTATAGAAATATAGTTAGAAGTCAGAGTATACTTGGTTGACAATTATACTTTACAGTTTATGCATGCACACATACACACCACAAATAGAAACTTTTATTAAAAAGTAGTATAAAGATTGTAAAGAGACTACAAATAGCTATAGATTCTCTTTCTTGTCATTGACCCAACGTCATGACAACAAAAAATTATCTTTCCCCACTCTTTCCTTATCTGAGAATGTTAGACGGTGACAGCATCACAGCAAGTTCCTTCCCAAATTCAGTTTATGACATCTCATGTATCACCCATCAGGACACTGAATCTGTAGAGTTTCCAAACAACATGACAATGAGAGCATTCAGTTGTCATATCTCAAAACACTGCAGTACAGGTATATATTCTTGTATGTGTAGAACATACAAGAATGTGTAGAACATACAAGAATGAGTGGCGTCAAATGGCAAGAATTCTTTGAGGAGAATGAAGCTGAAATGGGGTCATGCCAAACCAACAGTATTGATTGAATTACATTGAGATGAAATGAACAAGCTCAGTAAAAATGATCACAGTGAATGCCCAGATTGCAGTCTCTAAATATCTCTTTCCACTCAAAGTAACCAGTATTTCTTGGAGAAAGAAGCAAAAGTGCAAACACACACACACACACACACACACACACACACACACACACACACACACAGGCGTCAACTAGAAGACCATCCCAGTGGTCAAATGACAAGGATATTTGCTACACTGATAAGAATAAAAACTGTGAAGGACAGAAACAGATCAAAATAGAGTTAGGATGAAGCTTCCCCTAGTTTCCTGAATATGTTTCTACTTGTCTATCTATTTTTCAGTTTCTAAAAATAACTCCTTTGCTGGCATTGCTTCAATTATTTCCTATGTCCATCTTTTTTTGTATGTTTTGTGCATGCTCACTCTCATTTTTAGAGGTGCTTCAAAATCAATGGATAGAAACATGTTTCCAATCTCCCATATTTAACCATATGAAGACTGGGTCTCAAATGTACTCTTTATAAGTTTTTAAGAAAACACACATAAACACACACACAAAATCTGACAAAAATAATGTTGAAAAAGATTTGATTTTTTTTGAATAAAGGTGGTGTGACCTTTTCTGTTTTTTACATTTCATTTTTCTCATGCACTTATTTTAATATTGTATTTGAATGGAAAAGAATAGAGAGAATTTGATTACATCTTGGGAACTAGTTTTTTTCTTTTAGTGATTTATATCTGTACCATCTTTTGTATTTTCTTATTCACAGTACAAGTTGGACAGTGAATTCAATTAGAATTTCTTAGATGCTGTAGTGCGTGTAGAAAATCAATCTGCATATCCACCCCACTCTTCAAGATACTTTAGTAATATATTGTTTGTGGTCATATTGGATCATACTGTCATCTGATTAGGAGATAGTCATTATGTGGGGAAATAATAAAGAGAAAGACATAGTAATAAAGAAAGACAATGGAGACCAGTAGAGAGTAATAAAGAAAGACAATGGAGACTCAGCACAGGTTAAAATACTGGCTCTATCCTAAGTGCAATTTTATTGAAACATTTAACTCTGTCAGTTTGTCTCTTTACTTTTAAAATTATATAGTTGGAAAAGATATATAATAACTCTCTGTTCATAAATTTTCTGTGATTCTTTATTGCTGAAACAAACTATTCTACATACTGATTTTATGTCAAAATATTTTATATCCTTGGAATGAAAGGGTGTTATTTAGGAAAGGAAAATCTATAAAGCATTTGCAAGTTTCACTATGGATTTTTAACTTGAATCTTGCAATCCAAAATGTCAAGTTTAAAGGTACTAAAGTAGAGCATTACCTTTTGAAAATGGAATTCTACTTACTTTAAAGTTTATTCCAAAATACCACATATACTTTTAACATCTGATTATATAATAATCTAGTTCTTATATAAATCACCTAAATCTGCAAGGATTCCGCAAACTTTACTGTGCCTAACTTCCACCTGTGACTTGGTCAGAAATACAAATTCCTAGACTCTTCCCAGACATTATGATTCAGAAAGCTAGTGTAGGACCAAGTTATCTATACTGTTATTGAATAACCAGTCAATTCTGAGGTATCAATGTATTGTCTTTCGAAAATGATGGCTAAATATCTCATTTGTAATTTCTATAATAATATTGACAGATAAATCATTAGTTTTGAACATATGCATATAAAGAGATAATACATTTCTTTACATAATCCAACCAAATACCTCTTACTTGCATTTAAAAATAAGGATAAGAATATTAAGCTTTGAGTGTCAAACTATGTCTTTTTGGCACACATTACATTGATTTGAAGAGAAAATACAGGTTTAAAAACATTTTATAATGATCTGATCATTTTTTTTTTTCCTGCAGAAAGGCCTTTACTGGGCAGACAGGGTGTGTGCCTAATGCCAATGGACCAGGGCGATGGGAGAGGGCACATCCTGCGAAGGAGCAGAGGTGGCAGCCCTGTCCAGGGACCTCAGCCTGAATGCACTAAGGGCTGACCCCTCAGAGAGACTCAGGAGAGGTCCGCCCACAAGGACTTCGGGCCTCTCCCTCATAAAGACACCACCCCTGGCATGGGGTGCATGGCCCTTGTTCTCATACGTGTCTTGGCAGATCTCAGGGAGGACGTGAGGTGGGGTGGAGCCGTGGGAGGGCCCTTAAGGGAGGGAGAGGGGCATGGGTGGTGTGATGAACATGGGGTGGGGTGAGCTACTTTCTCCCGGGGCCTCCAGGGCTGCCTGCCGCCGCATGTAAGAAGGAATGCCCATCTTGACGTTGCTGACCGTGGTCGGGTGGTACCAGCGCATAACGAGTTTACCATCTGGGCCCACCAGCAACTTCTCAAAATTCCAGCAGATGTCGTGGGCCTTCACGGGTTCCCAGAAGAGGCAGTCAGGGGAGCCCAGGAACTCCGAGGTGGGAAGACAGGGGTTCTTCAGGAAGGTGCAGAACTTCTACTCTTTCTCTCGGTTCACATCTCCTTTCTCCAAAGGCTGGAAATTGGGAACGTAGTGCCCGCTGGGGCGGACATACTTGAGACTGGGAAGGATTTCAGAGTTCTCTCCTGGTTCTTGTTTTCCGAATTGGTTGCAGGGGAAGCCCAGAGTGACCAGACCCAACGGGGCCAGCTCCTCCTGTAGTGCATTCAGTTCCACGTACTGGCCCATCAGGCCTCAGTAGCTGGCCACATTGACAAAGAGGACGTATTTGCCTGCGTACTGCTCGAAGGGGATATACTCCTCCCCATCAAAGGTGAGTGCTCCGTACTCGCAGATGGTGCCCCTCACGCCGCTGTGACAGTCCATCTTGGACTTCCCCTGCCTGTGACTGGGCGGTGCGAAACCGACCAGGAGCAGGGAGAGCAGGCAAGACGAGCGCAGTAGCCCAGCGGGGTCGGGGCCAGCGCCGTCTCCATGTTTCCTTCTTGATCTCCATCATTACTCCGGTAACTGGTTATACTAAATTATTATAATTTTATGTTGCCTTGGAACGTATTTTAAATCTAAGCTAGACTTTCTCATACCAGTAGCAGGGCTCAATCACCTTTGACACAACTTTCAGTTCTCCACCTCCTCCCAGTGATTCAATGTGATCAGTCTAGACATCTGCCTTATGCCACTGCCTCCTGGTGACCACCTCCTTATGGAGTAACTAGACTCAACCTGCTTGACTCAGCCCACAGACCTCACTTACTTTCCACATGGACTGTGTAGATTTGCAACAATGACCTCCCTTCTCAGAAAGAGCATGTCTTCTGAAACTTGTGGCTACTTGCCTTAAATACAACACTTAAAATTCCCCATTAAAAAAAAAAAATACATGCTTGAGTGATGCCTTGGGTCCCAATAAAGTCTCTGGCCCTCATGTTCCTTGCTCTTCCTCTTCCTCTCTTTCTCCTCACCAACTAGTGAAGTGCATGCGTCAAGGATGGCTCCCCCTTTCCCCTTGGTCCTGAAAGGTGTGCTGCCCTCTTCTTTCTGGGATCTGAAGTGATAAAAAACTTCTTATGTTATTTCATGTAATTTCACTTATGTTTTGTTGTGTTGTCTTCTCTATGTCTCATTTGACCAACATACTCGAACCGAATTGTCTTCCCAGTCAGAGCTTTCCTAGGGAGTGGGTTATGGCCACTATCAAGAGAAGACTTTGGGACCAAATCAGGGGAAAATGCAACATTGGCACAAGCTGTTTCTTAGATATGAAACATTAGGCTGCTGGATTCTGCTGCTAAAAATCAATGTTGTTAATGTGTGATCAGATTTCTCCTCCCTTGTTTGGGCCCAGTGGGCCTTATCTTGGAGTGATCTCACTGGTGCCAAACCCTAGGCTATGCAGTTCTTTTACCTTGACTTCACTCAGAGAGACAAGCGTGAAGTGAGGACTCCTTTCAAAGTATCTAACACCCTCCCAGAGCAAATGTATTTTATTAAATATTCTGCAATTATGACTCTGGGTCAATATGGGCTAGATATAAAACCCTACTTTAAGTTTCTATATTTGTCAAATGATGAGTTTAAAAATATCTTCCATTAGAGGTGGACAATCTTGCTTCTAAGGTATGCATAATATTCTATATGAATATGTCACATGCCTGACTATGATGACAGAATAAATCATATACTGACAACATGATGGTAAAGATTTATTTATAATCATCACAAATATTTTCTGTTACTCAACTTTATTTTTAAAAATACAGAATCAAGACATCTGGTTGGAAGTTCTGCTGATTATTAAGCTTGGTTGAAAGTTTCTAATTGTTTTAAAAACAAATGTTAGTTAGAAAGAGTTGAGCTAAAATCGTCACTTCTATAGTATTCTCCATAGCATTACATTACACTGAAAAGGTGTTCTGAAGAAAAAGTTAATTAATTTATTTGGAGACGGTGTTTTTCAGCTCATGCTTCAGAAAAGTAAAGAAGACTAAAAGATCTGTTTCCTTTATTCTAGAACCAAACAATATTAATCAAGTCATAAAATGATATTTTCATAAATAAAATGATACCATAATGATTATATTGTCTTTACATTTTATCTCATATGTATATGTGTTTTAAGTCATGACCAATATCTCATAGAAGGAAGCGTAGTCTGTCAATTAAATGGAGTTTGTTTTATAAAGTTTTTAAAGCAGTAGTGTCATCTAGCTATTTTTTAAATTCTATATGCCCTGAAGAACTAATAAACTTCATATGAAGCATATTAATACATAATTATTCACAAATTCTATTTTTTTCAATTAATTTCTTGCTTATCTAAAGATGATAAAACAAAGAAGCAGAAATACTGAAAGTTCTGGGAAAGAAAATCTCAGATGTTTGACCTAAAAATATAACTATATATTATTTAATCTTACCCTTTATCTTGACTAAGAAGATGACGTATTTGAGCTCACATAGCCAAATGGCAAAGCATAGAACATACATCTAAGTTGTGTGACTGCATATCAATTCAACCACTAACCTAGACACTGCCCAGTCTACATGAATGGAAATGAACCACTGAATATAAGAAGGGGATATATTTTAAATACATTATTTATTATTTTTAACTTTGTTGCACACAAAAAATTTGAGACAATGTTTACTTTATATAAAAATATGACCAGATTACAAAGATTAAAAATGTACAAAGTAAAAGGAAAAAAATTGGTGTGCAATATAGACACATCAATAAAAGTGCACACAAAAATCACCTCCTTGCATAATACAGGTTAGTTATGGCTTTGACTTTGCTTTGACAGTCAACCAATGCTAGGGAAACCTGACTTGTTCAAATAATTCAAAATATCCATAAGATAAAAACAAGCCAATGGTTGGGCGAAACACAAGCATTCTTGATACCAAGATCAGAAAGAAATAGCACAAGGAAAAAAACGATATATAAATTATATCTTTGCATAATTCACAAGTTAGGATGTCTGGATTTAACTATTTAAGATCAACCTATTTTACTAAAAAAAGACCTAGATAATTCTACAGCTGAAATAAGTACATACAGAGCTTCATATTATATATATGCATAATTTATATGTAAATTATATGTATGCAATTTAAAGGCTTAATTTTTTTGTTACCAGTGTTACTAAAATATAATATAAAAGTACTTAATTTTTCTTTGTTTGGATTTATAAGAGGCATAACATTTTCCTTTATGGGAACCTCAGCTGTTAAATTGAAGAGGCTTATTCCAAAACAAGACGTGCTTAAAGAAGTGAAAGAAGAAAAAATCATTTGACTGTCAGTCAAATGAATGAACCAAAAATAGAGAGAAGCTTAAAATGTTTATAGCTTTATTACAATTTTTACAGAAATTGATCCAGTAGTGTGCTATAAAGTAAGTTTCAACAAAATACACATATTTAAATTACACAGGTTATGTTTTATGACAACAATAGAAATAAACTATAAATTTTCACCAGAAACAAAGTGAAGAACAACAAAACAGCAACTAGACGTCTTAGCTTTACAAAAATTGAACAATATAGTTTTACAGAATTAACTAGAAGTTAGATAAAAAATAAATCAGAAAAAATGTAAACTACATTATAATGAAGATAAGACATAAAAATCTGATCAGCTTGATCAGTGATAGAAGGAAATGTATATCTTTCATTTCATATGTTACAGAAGATGTCTGAAAATCAGTGAACTTAGCTTCCATCTAAATAAGTTAGGAAAAAGCCCAGAAAATTAAACCGAAATGGAACAGCAGGAAGATAATAGCAGAAAAAAGGAACAGAGTGGAACACCAAAAAAGCTAAAGTTGTTTTTTATGACAATATTAATCAAATTGACATATGTTTGGTTCATTCATTAAGAAGAAAAAAGGGAAAGTACAACTTATCCATAGCAAGAATGAGAGAGGAGGCATCATTGCAACCTTACCAACATTTAAAATATAATAAATGGTTATTTTGAGCACATTATGGACAATCTATCAATTCAAATGAAATAAATTTATTGGCTGGGTGTGGTGGCTCAAGCCTGTAATCCCAGCACTTTAGGAGGCTGTGGTGAGAGGATTGCGTGAGCTCATGGGTTCGAGAACAGCATGGGTAACTTGGCGAGATCTCATCTCTACAATAAAATAAAAAAATTAGCCAGGCATGGCAGTGCCTGCCTGTAGTTCCAGATACTTGGAAGGAACTCAAGTATCTTTCCAAGGTGGAAGGATCCCCTGAACCCGGCAGATTGACTCTGGGGTGGCCATGAGCGAGCCACTGAACTCCAGCTTGTGTGACAGAGTGAGACTCTGACTCAAAAAAAAAAAGGAAATAAATATATTTAAAAATAATATACTAGGTGAAGTGGGGACCAAAGGGAAGCCCAAACTTTGCCTCCTCTACAATAACCACTTATCTACTAATCCTGAACTGTATCCCACATATTTAAAAAAATAAACAGATTAAAAATAATTCACTGAAATTAATAGAAAAATAAATAGAAAATTTGATTAACTCAATATTTATCAAATTAAAAGTGTAATGGAAAAAAATAAGCTTAATATTGCAAAAGAAATTTGACCTTGTATCAGAAAAATAACAGACCACGATCAAGTGGAGTTATTTAGATATGCAAGCTGGGTTTGATATCACAAAATCTAAAAGTATAATTCACCAAATTAACAGGTAAAAGAACAAAATTGTATGATCATCTCAATAGACAAAGAAAAAAAGCACTCGGTTTAATTTTATACACATTTATGATAAAGCTTGCAATACATTAGGAATAAAAATAAAGCTCATTTTTGTCAAAGATTGTCTACAAGTACACTCACAATAAAAGCCACACTTAATGATAAATGTTGAAAGTTTGTCCTGTATTGAGAAAAAAAAAAGCTAAGGTCATCTTCTATACTCATCATCATTTAATATGCCAATGCAAAATGCAAAGTAATGGAATAAAAGGCATAAGAAATGAAAAGGAAGAAATAAAAATGTCATTATTTGAAGCCAAAAAATTACAGACCATTAGGATTAATGAGAGAATTTAGCAAGGTTGCTGAATTCAAAGATGAATATATAAAAATCCATTACATTTCTCTAAATCCCAAAGTCAACAAAGGAAAAGAAAGAATTGAAAATGATAACAATTACCTAAACATCCATAAAAGTAAAAGAACCAAAATCTACATTAAAAACTGCAAAATATTATTGATATAAATGAAAGAAGCTCTGAATAAATGGAGAAATATACTATACTTATGAATCACAGATTTTGTTAAAAAGATGATATTTCTTCCCCATTTGAACAACAGATTCAACACAATACACTGCTTTTATTTTTATTAACAAAATGATTCTAAAATTCATGAGAAATTCAAAGACCAAAGAAGAATCAAGGCAATTTTGTGAAGAAGAGGAAGAAAAAATAAAGAAGAATTTACACTATAAGAAGGACTATGTATGAAGCAGTAATGATTTAAGACATTGTAACTTTAAGCAATGATAGATGAATACACCAATGAAACTGAATAGAGTTCAGAAGCAGACCGATGTATATAATGGTCATTTAATGTATGACTATAGTAAAATGAAGAAAATTTTGCCATTTCAATAAATAGTGCTGTTGAATAGATATGTGTATGCATTTACA